TTTGAAACAAGCTGTTAACAACTTGTAACAAGCTTGATGGCATTATCAGCCTGGTTACAAGATTGTGCTAACAAGTTTGTTACAGCCATGATATAACAAGGATGTTACAATGTTGTCAACACAAGGTTGTAACAATCTTGTTATATCAAGCATGTCGCAGACTTGTCAGAACAACCTTGCAACAAGTCTGATAATTTCGACAAGGTTGCAACCTCGTACCCAGGTTGTACAAGGTTGTTACAAGTTGTTCCAAACCTGTTGACAACTTGTGACAAGCAGTGCGAATACATCTTGTTAACAGCTTGTAAACAGACTTGTAACAAACTTGTGCGTTTTTACGTGTGTAGTTGTGAAGAATATGTATCACGGACCTCTGCGGTGAATTGGGCAAGCACATTCTGTGTAATCGACCTTAAATAAGCTATTACTATATTATTATTCTAGATCGACATCAGTTCAGATTTAGCAGCTCGTACTGTCCATAAAGCGCAGTCAATTCACGCTCGTAGCAAACAGTCGCGCGATCAACGAGATTGCGCAGTATTCGATGATGCGCAGAATATAGTACTTAAAGAACTGCTGCCATTCTGGGCTGGGTTTACACGACGCTATGATGCTCATTCTGCTGAACAAGAAGCCGAAAAACTACCACGTAAGTAGTCTTTGCTGGGTTGCTGGTGTTCAACGTTTAGGAGTGTTAACACTTGTTAGAGCAAAGAAATTAAATTGTATCTCACAATTTTATTTTTTGGATCAAACCCTCCCAAAAACGACGCCATAATGAAACACAATAGTGCAGGGGTGGAAACACAATGGAATTCCCTATAGGTAAATTTGAAAGGGGTTCAAACACAATCGTGAAAACAATATATTCAAGATGGCGTCCTTAACCTTGGAAGGGCCTGTTAAAGTCGACGTGTTTTTCTCAAATAATTTTCTCGTTTTGGTATTTTTCACTAGCTACACGTCGTCAATTGACAGTAAAAAGACGTTACTCTGCGTTCAAGAAATTTCCCCTCAAGAAACGGCCAGTCAGTCTACAGAGCGTTCTGCCAAGCATTGGCGACTCAAAGAGGGAACTAAATTATTCCCTGGCTCAAGGCTTAGCCTGGAAGGTAAGTTGTTTAATGTGGTTTATAAAATATCACTACACTAATCAGCCGTGTCCCTCGATAGCATTTAGCATGACAAAAATTCCAGTACTCAGCAAGAGTACTCAGTCAGGGTCGCCGAGAGGGGGGGGGACAGGGGGGGGGAATTGCCCCGGGCCCGCAGGTTGTTTTCCGAAAAAAAATTTTCCGGAAAAGAATTTTGAAATAGTGGCCCCTAAAAAAAATTGCCCCGGGCCCCCGCCAACCTCTCGGCGGCCCTGTACTCAGTAGTCGGAATGTTGCATTGTCTTCTCATTGTTTTGAAAATCCCACTATTTTCTACATGGCGTATTTGTGATGTTAATTCAAGGCCCAATGTCTTAACGCAAGCTAACATCGGCTCTGCTTTATTTTTTAGGAAAGTCTTTCAGAGGAATCAGGAAGTATTTATTCAGTGAATGCGAGAAGCAGCGGAGACAATTCTCGTGCAAGCCGTCTTTTGTAAATTTTTCTCACCCATGGCATAGCCATAGTGCAGGGGATGATTCCATTGTCCTTATGGTACATACAGGGTGTCCCAAAAAACCCGAAAACTATTGAAATAAATGTATTGTTAGAATTTGAATGCCTCAGCACTCTGCTGAACCCACACGTGCATCAAAGCTTGACGTAAAGAAAATTTTATGCATAAAAAACCGTTTAAGAAGCTGTTTTAAATTCCCAAGAACAGAAAATCCGCGCGCTTTACAAAGATATTTTAATTTCTTAATAAGTCAATATTTAATATACTGTATGTACCCTAGTCAATATTTTACGCATCTTTGGCACTTTACGTTCGGCTTAGTGCTAGGGCATAGTTCAAATTTTAACAATACGTCATTTCAATGGTTTTTCGGGTTTTTTTGGGACACCCTGTAAAACAATAGTACAATCCAGTCATGATCCAGTGATCTTCATTTCTCTTTTCATTGTTTTGGAAATCTCGCTGTTCTCCACACAACATATTTTTATACTGTACTGTAGACAATTCATACAATGGAACATTCCAAACACTGGATCGCAAACGACGGAACAATTAAAATATTAAATGACTTCAAAGTGAAATAATTTTCTAAGGCTTTTTCTGTCCATCGATACACTACGAAACAATAAGTGAATAACATGAAGATCACATTGGGAAAATATACAGGGTATATTAAAAAAAACGAAACCTTAAGATATTGTTGAAATTTGAATGCATGTAGGCTTGTACTGTTGTAGCACTATGAATTCCCAGGAGCATAAAATCTTGTGCTTAACAACAATAGCTTTGATTTCTAAAGGCCTCGAGAACGGAACATATTTTCTGTTATTATGTAAAATATTAAGGAGTGGTTTTCTGAACGTTTGAACAAACAGCTAATAATGGAGTTTAACTTTATACTTTGGCTGTGTTTATTTCTCACAAAAGTAAGACTCTGCACAATCAAAGACATTTACTATACTATGGAATACTCAGATCGATTCTATTCTACACTCAAGACAGATATTTGTTCAAGCGAGAATGGAGAAACAAGCTTATCTGTAAAATACAAATGCAAGCTACAAAGATGGCTGTCTGATTGCAGAAGAAAGTCGAACACATGAGGATGTTGTCAAAAATATTGGAAATTTGCAGTCAAAAACCAAGACAGTTTGCGATGTGTTATGCTCATCAAAATGAGGTAAGCAACCGTAAGATTCAGTTGTGTCCGAATATGTATTAGCGTAGGCCCTATGTTTTAAACGACAGCACATGGTGGCCATGTTTGGAAATGAAAAGATATTATAGGTGCAAGAAAATTAAACCACGTCACTCAATTGCACGCGTGTGCCACCAAATGTGAGACTACCAGTATATAAAACGGTATCCTGATGTAAGGAAGAAAAGTATAAATATTACTTTATAATTATAATAGCATAGTTGCCCGGGTTTCTTTTGTTTCAACAGGGTCGATTACTAACTAATCGCCCGCTGTAGCGGGCGATTAGTTCTAATCGCCCGCTAGAGCGGGCGATTAGAACTAATCGCCCGTTACCAAGGGTCACACCTTTGTCTCCCTGACGACTACGCATTGGGCAAGTGCCTCACGCACATAATCGTGCAAGGAACAGCAACAGTTAGCTCAGAGCCGTCAATAGTCTATCATCCGATCCCTGAGTTGCCGCATCATTTAAATTACGCACGTGCAGTCGCAAACTTATACTAGTATATTTAGCGTTATTGTTGTGGTACGTTAAATGATAGATTGCGCATGCGTAACCGATTAAAGCGTAAAAAGTGCGCATGTGCAACAAGCTTTTACATCCCACAAGCAATGAAGCAAATGTTTTAGCTTAAATACGCTGATTCCAAGTAGGGTATGTTTGTCCATTTTTAAATGGGAGCGAAACTATGCTATTACAAACTAATAGCATGGCTTTTCGGGAGATTAGTGATTAAATGACCCCTTACCCTCGGCAGGTTTGCGGAATTCCCTCGGGCTTCGCCCTCGGGAATTCCGCAAACCTGCCTCGGGTTACGGGGCCATTTAATCACTAATCTCCCTCAAGCCATGCTATTACTTATAATAATTATAATATTTATATATGTCAACTAGAAGTTGACTACTGTTGCACGATAGTCAACCCACCTACAAATCTCACAACTTGTCAACAAGATGTGTTCGCAACAGGCTTGTAGCAAGCTTGTCAACAAGTTGTAACAATGCTATTATTTTACCAAGTTGCTACAAGGTTGTCACTCACAACTTGTTGACAAATTGTTGAATTGCAGGACGATAGCAAGTTGTTCGAACAACTTGTAGCAAGTCTGTTGAGCTCAACAACCTTGTAGCAAGTTGTCAACAAGCTGGGAACAGGCAGTGCGAACACATCCTGTTGACAAGTTGTGGGAACAGCATTCCTACAAAAGTCTGCTGCAGGTTTGTTACAACTTGTGCGTTTTTACGTGTGTAGTATATTTAGTAATACTAATAGTGCTCTACATGAAATGCGACATTTCAGAATATCATACGATTTAATTTTTGCAGTAAATATGTACCATCAAGCTTATCAAAGCTCGTATTCGTGCAACATAACGGATAATACAAACAAAACCACATGTCACAATTAGGTAAAGGGCTATTTACAAAACTAGATGGAGGGTATAATAGACATAGATACGTTAATTGCATGGATATATAAGGTGCTATAGTATAATATATACAATACTAGACATACAGTACAATCTACTCAAGTCTCTACTGTTTAAATAGGATTTTATCGTTCAAAGTATTCCTTAAATCATCAGCCCTCGTCGTCGACTCATGGCAGACTCTCTCGCTCGACGTTGTGTTTTCAATTGTCTTTCGCGGCGTTCGTTGTGACTAAAATGAAGAAACGAAAAAGAGTTACAATTAAGAATAATTTTGAATTGTCTCTGCCAGTATAGGTACTAGCTAGCACTAATAATGAAACTTAGGATTGATAAGGATTAGATAATCATAAGACATAACTTCCCGGCGAAGACCCTTCGCTCGAAACGTCGAAATTCTCCTTGTATTTTTCTGGTTACATCCCTATCAAAACGAAGTTTTCTTAATTAACCCATTAAGTGGCAGCACTTTCGCCCTGACGAGTAAAATCATCTGGCGTTAGGCAGAGTAAGGAGCATCTGGGCGCATTCTCACTTAATTGAGTGCGACTAACCCCAAATATGATTTTTTGTATGTGTAATATTTGGGTCATTCGAATCAGAAATGTAATGTATCTTTATAGTAAAAAATCTCATCTTGGTCAACTTTTCACTGTCAAAGTTTCCGGATATGATGTCATTGGGTGAATTGCAATTAGTTGTCCTTTGTTTTTTTGCACCAAAAATTCACCTAATGACCTCATATCCGGAAACTTTGACAGTGAAAAAGTTGACCAAGATGAGGTTTTTTACTATAAAAATATATTACATTTCTTCTTAGAATGACCCAAATATTACCCATACCAAAAATTATATTTGGGGTTAGTCACTGTCTACCCTGCCATTTGTGAAAATTTCAGATATATATTATAACTCTTCGGAGTAACTGTATAACTTGCAGACCCCTCAAAGTACTTTATTACCCTCAAAGTACTTTACACTAATCATTGCCATTTCAAAATACTATTCATGCAGTCTCTACATATTGAATAATTCTTGCACTCACTTTTTAGTTTTAACAGCTTTCACATCTCTCTGGTGTGATTTCCCTGCGCTCTTTTTCTTCACAGAAACCTTGGGCGAGTGTTTGGCGTAAGGTGGGGTGGGCAGTTTACCGGTATATGGTTTGTAGCGTAGCGGCTTAGCCAGGCTGGCTTGGAGGTCGAACATTTGGCGTGGGGTGGGTGAACCAAAAGGCATTGTGTTGGATGTGAACCTAGGGAAAATACATTAGTGAAATAAATTATTATAAATATTTTAGAATTTCAGGAATAAATTATTTTCACTTCCTGCCTAATCTTATTGCAGTTATTGGGATGTGTTTCACATAAGCACAATGGTGCAGCAGATTCCAGGCAAACTGCCTGTGTTATACAGGAGTGAGAAAATATTAACTTGTCATTTAAATATATCTATTTTTAGGGTTTGTAAAAAGCTATTTTATGTATTTTAGAATATTTTATGATAGACGAAAACATGAGGTTATGCTGCAAATATCCCC